CAACGGAAGAAGCAACAAGCTGGTGGTATCAAAGCCTTCTTAAGCACCTATACTCTAGTTTTCTCTTTAATTCATAAATCATATTCTTCTCTTTTAGGGTGCATGTGTGAGCCCATGGGTGTGTACACACACAAACATATATATTTGGGGGCATTTGGACACAAAATGTTCCCATACTTCTCCCCAACCCTTCTTTTGAGACCTGTGGGCACCACCTAATGCTGTATCAAAAGTTATGAGTACTGTTGCTAAGGCAACAAGGGTGAAATTCATGCAGTGAAGTATTAATGAAAACCATTAACTCTACTTGGTAAGATTTGTTCTCATACCCTTATTTCAGTGGTTAAAGAATGCAAATATTACAGGCTGTTAAACTGTAGGAAAATAGTAATAAGCGCTAGAATAAAAGTGGTGACAATGGGTGGATGTAAGAAATTAAAGGGGAGCTATAGGCTTTGTTAATTGTTGGCAGAGGTAAAGGAGAAGGAGTTGTAAGCATTAGCTCATAAAATGTGGATCAAGTTCCCAGCTACAGTGGTCAAGCAGGTTTAGCATGCTGGGACAATTAATAGACTATGCTTAAGGAAGGAAAATTTGATGAGAAAACAGGCACCATAGACACTAATGGCAGCACGAGGTAGAGGCAGAAATCACAGATCAAGTTATATTAAGTTGAAGTAAATATACAGTTTATAAGCAAAATTGTGATTCATTACATTCATCTGAGGCTTCAAGTTGTAGTACAAAAACAGTGGGAGTTCAGTCAGTGGTCAACCATGAAATTCACTGGAGATAAATCATAATTGATTTGGGTTACTAATAAGCCCAGGGAAATAGTCTAGTAAGAAAAAAGCAAAATAGGTGCAGAATAATATGTACAGTAGGCTTTAAAAGTGTCAAGAACTGAGAACTGGATTGGAAAAATATGCATTAATATTTGTTTGTATGAGCACGGAATACGTGAATTTGCCTCGAAACTGGTTCCATTAGTTGCACATAGGAAGAAAAATTAACTGGAAAAAAGACAGGAGTAAAGGAGGTTGTTTTACTGCAAAAAAAAAAAAAAAAAAAAAGCAGGGGACTGGAAATATAGCTCAGTTGGTAGAGTGCTTGCCTCACATGCACAAGGCCCTGGGTTCGATTCCCA